AATGTAAACTACACCCAAAACATCTTCACCCACAGTTACTACCGTGTTTCACCAGTGTATTCTATTTGACGTCAGGAGAAATTGAAATAAACAAATTAATTATAATTTCAGCCTCTAGTTGACCACTGATTAAATAAACTACCTCGTCTTTATGTCAACTTGCAGTTATTCGTTGCTACACCAGTGACTTCAAAATATATGTTTCAATCCCAGGAATTTCACTCGCTGTTAATTGCATGGGAGTGGCAGTCTTTAATGAATTTCTATTGTCATGTCAATTTCTTGCGATTACTCGAACATTAAGGCTAGCTGTAACCACATACCGCCTAGGTGCTGTAATTAAATCCTGGTGTAAGCACCATATGAACTATGAACAATGCATGTGAAGCCAGCTGTGGGGTATATTCAATCCTATAGATTTCTCATTGTTTGGTAACTATTTGCTGCAAATGCAACAAAAATCAATATAAAAATATTACCCACACAGCATTCTACAGGTTACTTGTATTTTTAGATTTTCAAATAAAAATATAATAAAATTGCGACAACGCATACCTGAAATAAAAAAAAAAATAGAATAAACAATTCATAAATAAGTTACATTCAAATATTCATAACATGGAGCTGTGAGCACTGAAATTAACGCCTGTCCCGCTTCTTTTTCAGTGGTATCAATAGACAGATATATTCTTGATCCCAGTTGAGTTGGTACTTGATGCTGTGGGTGACTGAGATGATGTCAATTTCATTATGCAAACTAAAAACTTTTGTCTGTGACCCCAATTTATTAGTGACCTTGTATAACAATTAAGAAATCTATTCATAAATTATCTGCAATTTCCAAAGACTGTATTGATCAACCTTAACAGGCGATCAATCTGACAAAAAGGAGCGAAAAAATTATCAGAATTTCAAAAGTGTCACATAATTGTTTAAATTTTTGTCATTTGAGGAGTTTATTGCATTTGTGAAGACAAAGTTTCACGAAAGTCACTGACTACTATGATGCAGACTACAGAGAAATTTT